GTACTTTTCTTTTTTTCTTTGTATTTAGTTTTACTTTTTGTATCTCTTTTATAAATATAATAAAGTTACTGGCAGTGTCACATCGTTTAAAAAAAAAAAAAAAAAAAAAAAGGAAAAAAAATATGCAATTTAATGTCAAGGAATTGTTGATTTTAAAGAAATTTTTATTAATTATGTAATAGAATGCCCTGGATCAGTACATGATACACGAGTTTATAACAATTCAGATTTTATCTTAATAGAACAGAATATATTCAAGATGAAGATTATGTGCTAGATGATTCAGCATATCCAATTTCCCCTTTTTGATATCTCCTTTTAAAAATCCTTTTAATCATAAGCAACTTCAGTTTAATTTTATTTATTCAAAGCATAGGGTTATTGTACATGCATTTGGTAGATTGAAAGCTAGATTTAGAGCTTTAAAAGAAATCTCTATTAAAGATTTAAAACAGCTATTAATTTAGCTGATTGTATTATAATATTACATAATTTTCTTGAAATAAGTGGCAAAACTTGGGAAATTATAGAACAGGATGATTATTATAATAATAATCAATATGATTTTGATAATGAAAGTAATGAAATTTTGAAGTTAGAAGGAGAATTTAAAAGAGAAGAAATGTTAAATCAATTTGTTGTATAAATAAATTCTAGGATAATTAGTAAAATAAAATTTTTGTAAACTTAAAATCTAAAATAATGTGTTTTATGTATAAAAATGATAAATAAATCAATATCAAATGACAATGACAAATCGTTCGATGCAAATCGAATGATAATACAATCATTATTCAGTTTGAACGATGATGATGAATCATTCGATACAAATTGAAGCAAGCCGATATTGTGTTTCGTTGACAAAATATTGACTTATATTTTATAAAACACTTTAAAATTGAAATTATGAATAAAAATATTAATGAAAATTAAAATTCATAAATTGACATTTTATTAAAAAATTTATTAAGCAAAATCAACAAATGCTTTATTATTCGTTATTTTTATGAAATTATAACATTTCTAACTCCAATTTAACCTTTTCATTTTCAGCACGTAATTTTCTATTTTTAGCTTACCCTTTTCTAATTTCATATTGTTGAATTAATTTTTTTTCTTCTAATTCAAACTTTTTTTTAAATTTCGCATTCTTCTAAATCTAGTTTTTTTTATAAAACCTATCTCTTGACTCCTTATTGCAGCAATCACTCCAGATAAACCTTCAATTTCATTTACTTTCTTTTTTTTCTTTTTGGAAGACCTTTTGTTTTCGTTTCTTACTTTTAACTGATGGCTAAATAGTGTAAAAAAATAAGTATCAGATATACAAATGTTTAATTAAAATTTTAGATAAATCTTACTAAAAAAAATTCTTCATTAAATTTTTGTGAATCTTCTTGTATAGTAATAATATTTGTATCCAACTATTTATATAAATGTATTAATAATTATATTGAAAAGATTTTAGATAAAAAAAAAAAATACAAACCTCTGTAAGATCAATTAATCCTTTAGAAGTAGATGCTGACCTAGATGCAAACTCATTAGGAAATTTCTACTATTGTTGGTTTTGGAAGTATAGGAACGGGCTTCAAACATGTATTAATTTTGGATTCATTAAATTTAAACACGTCGTCCTAACGATATGAAATGTGAGCGCGTTATTTTTTCCAGAACATTTGGATCATTGATCTGTTGATCCGTTTATTTAATCTGATCTTTAAATGTTTGTAATTGGCTACTTAATTTTTTTAATAACGGATCAGATTAAAATGGAACAGGGTTAGTGAAAATTTGAAAGAGAAAATTTTTTATATTAGTAGCTGATCTTCCAATAGAAAGATCGAGGGTAGTGGTTAGGATAAAATTCTTTAAACTATTGGTTTTTTTTCTTGCTTGTTCCTCACACTAGTTATTGATTTAATAAACCTATATTTTGGACTTAAATTAATTATATTGTCACGCGTCTTAGTTCAAAAATCACATCATGACAAGTCACATGTATAGAAATTGTGCCATTTTATGTCATTAATAGAAATTTCATGTACTCCAATTTGTTTTTAAGAATTCTAGAATACATACAAATGTGTACTAAAAAGTACACAATTACCCAATTACACAATTACGTCAATGCAATTCTACGTCATAATGTATCGAAAAATGGGAAATTAAAATGTGTTTCTTATTTTGGCTAAAAAGATTTGTGAAATTTGTGTAATGTAATTTAAACAGTAGAGTAGTTTGAAATTTCTTTCCTCAATTTCACATTACTATTTATTTAATTAATATTTTAATATTATAATGTTTTTACTCAAAAAAGCAACTTCGAGACCACCAAAGCCAGTTGTAACTCCTACTGTTATCCCAGCTGTTCCAATACAACCACTTCATAAAAAAATTACTTTAGTAATTGATAAAAATGTTTTCGTCCTAATTTCAGGAAATGATTTTTTGGAAATTGAATTGGAAACTGGAAAAATCACAAAAAAAGGTATAAATATTTTTAAGGAAAAGTTTCTTATCGAGGAAATCTAATTTATCTTAATTTATTTACGTAATTGCTTGTTGTAGACAAACATGATCCTTCCCAGGACGCCAAGAATTATTTTGTATTTGGCGTAGTAGGAATGTTAAGGTTATTATCAGGTTAGTATTTAAATTTACTTTTCTAATTGGATTTTGATTAGTTCTATCAAATAAATAAACATTCAATAACATATTTTGAATTATTTATAGCACAATACATAATAGTTATTACAGATAGAAAGGACCTTGGTAAAGTTCAGGGTAAACATGTTTACATGGTTAAAAGAGTAGCAGTCCTACCTTTGAATTATGAAGACGCTCTTAAAATCCTTGAGAAACATGTAGGTTAATAATTTTTGATTTCTTTATTACTAGACGATCTAGGACTATGCGACCGTTATTTTTTATACCTGTCCTGATATTTGACAAATTTAGTGATTAAATTAGCGCATAGTCCTAATGCCAGTATAATTGAATGTAGCGTTATCGATCAAAGACCGATATAGTTATTCACCGTTCAAATAACATACAATTATTATACAATGATTTAATATATTTATATATTGTTTTAAAATCCTAGCCTTGGTCTGTTGATGGAGAAGATCAAGAGACAGCCGATATATTTCTTGAAGATTTAGGAAAAGGGCATAAAAGATACGTTTCTAACGCAATAACTGAAACAGATGTAGAGGAAGCAACCAATAGTTTGCCATCAACATCAACAATCTTAGATTCATCATCACCTTTATCAATTTCAATTATATCCCCGCCTCCTGTGCCTCCATCACCACCAGAATCACAATCAAATAAAAAACAACAATCTTTATTATCAAAAATGAAATCAGCAATTGCCGAATTAAATAGAAGAAGATCTCCATCATTATCTTCAAATGGATCAGATTCCGAATATGATGATAAAGAAGGAGGGTTTACATCAGTTAGCACTACTGATGAAAGTACACCTAATAGTACAAATGATAATAATATCGATATATCAAAAAATTCAAGTAAATTGTCACCTTTATCCACTGCTGCAAAACGAGTCAGTGAAGTTTTTTGGGATGGTTTTACTAACGATAATGGATCTTCAAAAACGATTAATATAAAGGATCCCATAGATAACAAAGTTGGTTAAAAGGATTATTTTAATTATCACCTTTTTTTTAAAAAAAAAAAAATTATCATTTAATAAACTATTTATTATTTTAGGTAATGGATGCACGAGTTGCTAGAGAAATTGCATCATTCTTTCGCGATGCGTTTTTCTATTCGTATGAACTTGGTAACTATTTGTGTTTTATTATTTTCATTGTTTTATTAAATATCATATTGGTTTATTTTCTTTCTTTTGCTAGATATTACAACATCTTTACAACAAAAACATGAAAAGGGATTTCCTAAAGAAGGCTTACCTCTTTGGAAACAGGTTAAATTCTTTTAAACACGATTATAATTTCCCTATTTATATTTTAATAAAATGGTTTTCATATAGACAGATAAGAAGTTTTGGTGGAATGAACATATGCTTAAAGGATTTATTGAACTTGAGGTATATATAAATTGTCGAGATGCTATTTATTTAAATCATATATTAAAATTTTTTTTGAACATTAAAAAGCTTGATGGTTGGATATTACCCATAATGCAAGGTTATGTTCAAATTGAGATATGTCAGATCGATGAACGAACATTTGATTTTACATTAATTTCTCGGAGGAGTCGTGAAAGAGCGGGTAAGCATTATTTATTAAAATTATAATTAATTAGAACTATGTTTTTCAACATTTTTTATTGATATAATTTTAGGTTTACGATACCAACGTAGAGGAATCAATGAAGATGGTGATGTGGCGAATTTTGTTGAATCAGAACAAATACTTTCAATTGAGGTTCGAAATTTGCTTAAAAGATATTTATATTAATTCAATTAGTTTTAATTTTATTTACTTTTTAGATTGAAGGAAATAATCACGTAGTATCATTTTTACAAGCTCGTGGCTCAAGTGAGTTAACAACGTTTTTGATAACTTTTGAATCACAAATATATTTTTTTATTTATTTATTTATTTTTTTTTAAAAAAAAAGTTCCATTATTTTGGTCGCAATCACCTTATGGTCTTAAGCCAAAGCCTGTATTAGAACGTTCTGCTAACGATAATACATTAGCATTTAGAAGACATTTTGATAAATTAATTGGAATGTATGGAAGTATAAATTGTATTAATTTAACAGAATTAACTAATCGTGAAGCTATTGTTGGAGGAGCTTTCCGTGACGCAATTAACAGTTGCAAAGAAGATCCGAATATCGAGTATGTGTAACTTAACTTTATGTTAAATATAATGAGAAAAAGTACATCTTAACTAAAATTTATTATATAAAATTTAGATATATTGAATTTGATTTTCACAAAGAATGTAAAGGAATGAAATATGAAAATATTTCAAGACTTATTGAAATACTTGAACGCAATTTCAATAAAATTGGGTAAATCAAAATTTCTGTTCTTTTTTTTTAAATAAAAATCTATATTAAAGGTTTTTATTATTAATTTTTTATTAGTTATTTCTGGCAAGCCAGTAAAACGACAGGTGATGTAGAAATTCATTGCAAGCAAGCAGGAGTCTTTCGTACAGTTTGGTATCATATTTATCTAAGAAAAAAAGTTTTGTTATTTTCTTTTGCGAAATTCATTTTAATTCGTATTTCGATAATTTAGAATTGTATGGACTGTTTAGATAGGACAAACGTTGTGCAGGTATGTGATTACATAATATTTTTATCATTTTTTTTTGAGGCACATCAAAATATATTATTTTATTAATATATCATTTGAGCAGAGTGCTCTCGCTAGGGAAGTTTTAAATCTTCAAATGCTTAGATTAGGAATTTCTGAATTTATTGATGGTGGATTTTCCCATTATGAACAATTTGAAAATATTTTTAATGATGGTAATAATCAAGACTATAATTTAAAGAAATTAAAAGGTGTCTATTTATTTTAATATTTGTATTTATTATTTATATAGTATGGGCAAATAACGGAGATTCTATAAGTAGAGAATACGCTGGTACTAGTGCATTAAAAGGGGATTTTACTAGGTGAGATAACAATTATGTTTTGATATTTAAAAGTTTAGATGCGTTCGTGATGCAAATGGCGCATATGCTTGCTGTTGATGTGGTTGATGATGATGTTATTGTCGCTGTCGCTGCTATAGCTATTGTAGTTGCTGTTACAGTTGCTGTTATCGATGTTTGTTGTTTGTGTCGTGTAGCGGTTACCATTATTAATTATAGTCTCTCCTTTTTTTAAATAATTTTTGTTATAGAACTGGTAAGTTAACTTCAAATATATAAGTTATTATTGTTTCTATTTTAATATATTTTCAATTTAATATAGGAAAAAGAAATTTACAGGGAGTTGTTAACGATGCATCTAATTCGTTGGCCCGTATGTTTCAGAATACGTTTAAAGATTTCTTTAGACAGGTAATAAATAATTTGAAGATTGAAATTTACCTTCTTAAGCCTGATGTAATCTGTTTCTTTTTAATTATATGTAATAGGCCACAATTGATTATATATTAGGTAATCATTCAATTGAAGTATTTCAGGAACTTCAACAGAAATTTGAGGCATCGCAACCCGGAGAAGCAGAAAGATGGGCAAAAGTTAGAGCTACCGCAAGTATGTTATATTTTATTGGAAATGTATTTTTTTGCATAGATATTTTTAAAGTTGAAAGACTAATGAACATTATACTAATAGTTGAAATTAGTAGTTTTATCGTTATTGTTGATAATGAGGAAAAGATTAATGGTTGGACATTTTTATCACCTACTGAACAAAATACTCTGTATGAATAAAATAAGTTCCTATTTATGTTTAATTAGAAAAAAGTTTGTTTCTGATATTTGATTTATCTTTATTTTTTAGTCGAGGAAAATCTTATGAAGAAAAGGTATTGCTTTTGACTAAAAAGGCATTGTATATTTGTACGTTCCATTATCGTTTGGAAAAGGTTATGCAATTTAAGCGAATTGGATTAGGGGAAATAACTTCAGTTGAAAAAGGTAATTTTTCCCAAGATATCGTTTGCAATTTCTAGTAACTTTTATAATATTTATTTCATTTTTTATAGGAGAGTACATTTTATCTACATTATATCCGTCATGTGTATCAATCGAAGATAATTATGGGTTCATAATATATTATAGAGCGTCAGGCGAGTCAAGTAGAACAAATTCGGGTAGTATAAGGAACAATAATTATTACAAAAACAATAATGATTCGGAAGCAAAAAGATTTATGGCATTTAAAGCATTTAGAAGTAATTTGGTAGGTGAAGCAACAAAATTTGTTGGAGGAAGCGGACAAAAAGAACAAAAAACAAGTCAACAAGCTGTTAATGAAGTAGTTGAAGAAATTGTTAAAGCTTGTTATGAAATGGGCAATGCCGATGATGTTGAATTCGTTATTGAAAGACCTATTATAAGGTATGATTTTATTATAGTTTTGCATTCGTTTTAATAAGATTCTTTTTTTTTTCTTTTTTAACTTAAATCTTTTTTATTTAGTTTGGAGGAAGCAAATAAGAATACTGGAATCATGACTAAAGTTGGATTTAAAGTTAAACAAGCGTTATGGCTTTAATTAAGTAAATTTAATGAGTTCTTTAATAACTTTAGTATATTAGAATGTTTAATTAGCTATTTACTAGTAAAATTTTTCTTCAATTAATTAATTGAGTTCTTTATTTATTTGTTTAAAAAATGTTCAATTACATTGGATTTGAATATACTCCATCATTTTTTGCTCCCTACTCTTTATTATACTTTGTTATCATTATATGTTATATATTTAAATCAAATGGAGTATGGCCGATTTTTCTCAAAATATTCATTATTTTGCATTAATTTTTTTTAATTTTAAAAATTCTCTATTTTTTTTTTTTAAATAAATATAAATCCTATAATTATATAATAAAATAATATTAAAATTACAAAATTACAAAATTATTTTTATTTTAAAATATCATTAATATATAATGCTATAAAAAAAATATATAATATATTATATTAATATATTTTTTAATTATAAAATATTTAAGTAATATAAAATTAATTTATAAAAATATATTTTATATTTACATTTGAATTTATTATTATATATTTAAAAAATTAAAAAATTTTAAATAAATCAACTTAGATTTAAATTAAATATATAAAATAAAAGTTATAAAATAAATAAAAGTAATTAATATTTTTTATTTTTATATATTTTTTAAATGATTTTCAAAAATATATAAAAATTTAAATCAAAAAATACTATTTTGATATTTATATAATTAAAAAATAATAAGTTTAATCAAATTGTTTACTTTATTATTTAATAATATAAATATATATTTCACTTTATTAATAATAAGATAAAATTTAATAAAAAAATTTTTTTTTGTATATCAATACCAGACTTTTAAACATAAAAATTATTTAATTTTTCAAAATAATAAATTGTTATTTAATTTAAATAATTAAAAATTTAATTAAAATTTAATATATTAGTAAAATTACTTGCAAAAGAATTTAAAATAAAAAAAAATATAAAATAAATATTTAAATATGTAAATAAAGATAAAATTGTAAAAGTCCTAATAAGTTCTAATTGGATTTAAAGAATTTAAAGATAATTTTAATTTATATACTATTAATTAAATTTATTAATAATAAATTAATTTTTTTAATAATTATTATATGGAAGGTTTGCTAGGAAAATGTGACTCTGAGCATTTTTTATTAAAATTTTAATTTTTATTGCATTTTAGTCTAACATTTTCAAAAATTAAATTGTAATAAAAATTAAAATTTTAATAAAAAATGCTCAGAGCTCTATTTTTCTAGCAAATCTTTTATATATCAATTTTTTTATTAATTTAAAATAAAAATTCTTTAAAAATAATAAATATACTTAATTTAAGACCTGGTCCTAGAATTTAGGTCCTAAATCTAAAATTTTAAAGATATTTTAAATTTAAAAAGAAATTTAAACTTATTTTAATAAGTAACTTTAATTAAAAAATTATTTATAATGATAATTTTTAAAGCTAATAATTTTTTTAAAATTAATCAGAAACCAATTAGGACTTTTATTAATTCTAGTTGTAATTTGAATTATAATCCTTTAAATTGCAATTATTTATAAATTTTTATATTAAAATAGATATTACAAGAAATTGCAACTTTTTGAGTTATAATTTCTTAATTAAATACCATCTTTATAAAAAAAAATAAAAAAATATATAATACAAATAATATATAAAATATAAATAAAAAATTTAAAAAATTTTAATTATTTTTATGTTATATAAGTTTATAAATATTTTAGATTTAAAAATTATAAAATAATAAGATTTTATTAATATATATATATCTATTAATATAAATCTATAAGAATTCTTTATTTTTAAACTTGTTTTTATTATAAAACTTAAGTAATTATGTAAAAATAAAAATGATAAATCATATATAATTTATATTAAAAGTTTTAAAAATAGGTTTAATTATATATAGTAAATATTTTAAAAAAAATAAGTTAATAAAAATTAATTTACAATTATATTTTCTAAAATTATTAAATAAAAAAATAAATTTAAATAAAATTTAAATATATATACATATATATTTATTAGTATTGCTGTTTGAAACAAAATTCTTTAGTTTAGAATAATTAAAACTAGTTTAATTAAGTGTTAAAACTAGTTTAGTTAGTAGTCAAAATTACTGAAACTAGTTTTGTTTAACTAAAAGTAGTTTAGGATAGCATCCTTAATATTTATATAAAGAATTTAAATTTATATAATTATATGAGAGCTTTGCAATAGAAAGGGAGGAAACTCTAAAAAATAAAATTTTACTTTATAAGCTATTTATGATTTTTTTAGTAAAGTAAGTTCAGAATTTAATATTAACTCGAAAAAAAATTTTTTTAGAGTTTCCTCCTTTTCTATTGCAAAGCTCTCATATAATATATCATTATGTAACTTATTAAAAAAGATTTTTTTTTTTAATTATAAAAAAGTATTTTATCATTTTTTAATATTTTTATATTTTTTTATAATTACAGCTATTTTCACAATTTTTGGATCAATATAATTTTTAGTTACATTTAGTTACATTTAATCACAATATTTTATAGTAATTTTATAAAATATTTTCAATCACATTCGATTGTATTCAATCTCAATTTATTAATGATTCAGGAATTATAAAAATAGTATAATTGCTTTTTTTGAATAGTGATTTAAAATGCAAATATTATTATCAATATTTTATTTATAGATTGCACATATATTTTTAGAATATAAAGCATTTATTATTTATTTGTATTACATGAATTCATATGAAATTTTAATGACGAAAAATGTATTTATTTAAATTTATTTTCTCCGGTCTAGAATCAATTAATTTCACAAAATCTGTAAAGGAGTAAAAACTTTATTTGGATTTTTTTTTATCGTCATATGAAATGGGAAAATCAAGTTCTGAGATTTTTTTTGACCAAAATTAAGGATCATATTGCTCAATTTTACATATGAACTAAAAAAAAAAGAATTATTTTAATCCCCTAAAAAAATTAACAAAATGTTTTTCTAGAAGTCGTCGGAATGCTTCCGAATTTAAATGAATGCCTTAAATGTAAATGCATTGATTTGCTTGCATGTCTACATCATCGATTTTCGGAATGTTTTCCGTTTTTACGTAATGCATTTCGTGTTTAATTAACTCTTTCAGTTCGTTATATCGCGGGTTTTTTTTGGGAATCACAAAAAAAGAAATTCGACTGGGCAATGATTATCAAGTAAACAAGATTTTCGAAAGAAATATATAAACGTACCATCAAAGACTTTTTTTTTTGGTATTGAATAAAGAAATATTTAAGAATCTAAATATCATCATCTCAAAAAAACTTTCTCAAACCTATATTTGCAATAACGAGATTCGAAAATTTTATTAATCATGTCATTAAGAGTCTTTGGTAGTTCTTCTACATTGTTTGCAATTTTCGTGGCAAACATTTCAAAATCGACCGCTCCTCCACACGCAGAACATCATCATTCCAAAAAGTAAGTAGCCTACTCTTTTTTTTTTTTTTTAAAAAAAAAACTATACTAACAGTACGAACTAAAATATTTTTACTTCTTTGTAGGAAAGAACAATACCATCATCATTCTCATCAATTTCAATACCAACAACCTAAATCAAGATATCTTGCATTCTCAAAGTATAATCGGAAAATAGGCGATGAGTCAAATATTACAAAGTCCAAATCCAAAAATTCAAAGACAAGCAAACGAAAATAAGCTATTGATTTCCTAAATAATTTTTTAAACTTTATTTTTTATATTCCATTTATTTTATTATAATGTTAATTCGATCATTTCCTTATCTTTTTTTTTAATATATACTGTATTTAATATATTTTTATACATATAATTCTATTCTAATAAATTCTAAATTTTTATTTATACAAGAAAAAAACTTTCATATTATTTTTTTATAACTAACTTAATTCCTAAAAACCAAGAAGTCTTGAATTATGTATCAACAGTATCCTTATACTGTACCCCCTTGAATGGTATCCCGTAACTAATCCAAAAATATTCTAAAACAATCAATACTATGAAAATAATTTGTCACGTGATATTTTCTTGAATAGTACCGGGTGCGCTAAGCAGTAATTGAGATAATATGCTAAATGTAATTCTTCATTATTGCAGATATTATTACTCGTAAATAAGTGATTTAGTAAGAGAACAATATATTATTATTATTTTCTTTTTTTTAAAAAAAAAATCATTTATTAATCTGCTTTATTTTAAGCAAAATCTCAAAAATCTTTGGAAATTTATTAAATTAAGAGAAAGTTATCTTAGAAAGTAATATTATTTGAAAATATTCGGAAGAAATGGCATTGACTTAAAACACAAATATAGATTAAAATTCTAGAGATCCTTTTGGCAGACGCCATCAATTCATAATAAATCAGAGATGGAAATAGGAACGGGATAGGATGAACTACGAATTGAAGCGGCTTGCCGGGTATAGAAGCATGAGTGGATGAATAATGATTTTTTATCGCGTCTATTTCGTGGGTTGAGTTTGCCTAAGCAGAGGAGGATGTTCTTTGAACACGAGACATTCTTTGAATAAGAATAGATGCTAGAACTTCATCAAACCATAGGTATTCCGATCGGGAACAGATTTGTAAATTACAGCAACAGCTTGTATGTTAAATAAATTTTATCATTGTAATTTTTTATTTATTCAAAAATTAAATACTTTAATAACAAAATTGAAAGTTAAATATAAAGCTCAACCAATAAAAAAATTCAAAATTTCCAAATATTCATCCATCATTGAAACTATTTCTTACATAACGTTAATCATGTCATTAGGGACGGCTAATGCTTTAGCTTGAACAGCTTCAAATATCCTATCACCAAAAAACCAACTTGCAACAGCAATCAACCTAGCATCTAAACCAACATAATAAGTATTTTTAGGATAAGGTGCAGTTAAAGCATGTACGATAGCATCGCTAACAACAGCAGGTGGTGTCGATGCTGTGAATAATGAACTTCGCTTTGCAATCATTCTGAATAAATTTTCATATGATTCAATTGCATTTGATGTAATATTATATGTAATGTCATGATATTTTGAATTTGAGGTGAATGAGACAAAGTTACGATATGCTTTCAATTGATTTTCAGTAAATCGGGTTGCAACAACACCTATATTGCGTAAAATTTCAACGTTAAATCTCGATGGTTGTTTCTAATCTCTGAAAATTGACACCCTCAAGATTAAAGGTGAAAACTTACCAGGTTCAATGAGCGAAAAATGCATGCCCATAGATCTAGTCTCCATTCTCCATACTTGAGTAATTGCTCTAAGAGCGGCTTTGGTTGCTGAATAAATTCCCATAGAAGGAGCAGGGCCCCAAGATGCGATGCTACCGATATTAACAACCCTACCCCTGCTTTCTCTTAATAAAGGTAAAAACTTCTTTGTTAAATTAACGATACTAAAATAATTCGTATTAAAACTATCTTCATTACAACTTTCTGATGCAATCTCCAAGGGAACGTATAAAATAAATGCGGCATTATTAACCAATCCAACAAAAGGAATTTCTCTTCCTATCGTTGAACGAACTGAATTGTAAGCTTTTTGAATATCATCTTTATTGGTTACGTCCATTATTAATGGTAATAAGCTTCCATTCATAACATTATCAAATTCTGCAAATGTATTTTTCAATTCTTCGGCATCATCTTCCCTACGAACCGTTGCAAACACCGTATAACCTTGTTTGGCCAAAGTTAATGCGACATCTCGTCCGATTCCGGAAGAAGTTCCTGTAACTAAAACTGCTGGATGATAACTTTGTGATGTAGTATGAACATGTAATGGTGTTTGATTAAGAAATTTAATTAAAATAAATGAAACAAGAGTATTATATGCATATGTAATATAATCGATTACAAGTGTTAAATGTATTAACACTTCATCAACTAAACCTCCATAAGACATCGTAATCAAAAAGCTTTTTTTTCTTTTTCGTTTTTTGTAAATTTCAAAAAAAGAATATTTTTTTCCTTTTTTTTTTCAAAAAATCTTTGTACACCCCTTTATATAGCATATGCATCGTAATTTGACTTAATTTGATTTTGATTAACACGTGGAAATCGGTTTTAGATGAAAATCAAAATCATTTTTATTTTCGGAGGCGCAGCAGATTGAAATATTACTATTTAATATTAGACTATGAGAACATCACTATTTGTTTCAATTTGTCAACAGCAGACTGCACATGAGAGGCTACACCACTACGAACTTCTCTTAGCATTTCATTCATTTCATTAGATTGTCTAACTTTAACTTCTTTTCTCAATCTGTCAAGTAAAGCTTTTTTATCAACATTATCAATATGAGGAAGGCCTCCAAGTAATTCTGTAGGATTCTTTGAACGTTCTTGTCCGATAGCCGCAGCATATTTTCCAAGCGCCGAAGCTAAAATTTAAAATTCTTAGTTTTATTTTTTTTGTGGGTTATAAAAATGTTTGTACAGAATACCTGCAGTAGCAGCCTGAGTTTTGAAGTGAGGACCAGTACCCTCTTTTCTTTCTTTACGGGCATAATCCGTAGATAGGGATTTTAATTCCATAAGGTTACGATTTTCTTCTTCTTCACTTATACGTTCTATATGTACATCCTGATTATAGTCGCATTGGCTATCATGTACAATAAATTTAGATCAAAATGTTTAAAAGAAAGAAATGATTATGAGAAAACGGATGCATACCACCATATACTGGTGGACCAAATTTCATTTGTCCTAGTCCTGATGCTGGGTTGGGAACATATTCTCATCATTTATGTCTGTAATTTCGTTATATATTCCTTTCGTAGTAGACATTTCCTCTAAAATTAACGCGAGAAAATTGGGAAAGGTTCTTTGACCTCTTATATAACAAATTTATATGGAACGAGTTACATATACTGGTCGTATTTCGTGATTATTTATGACATAATGTTTGAATCATAAAACAGATAGATATCATCCACACTTTTACGATGTGATTATAATAGTGTTGGTTCATAATTTAAATGAAAAAAAATATTTACGATAATAATTAAGGATAGCATCAATTTTACGATATTTTCAGATTAACATAAAAGCATTTTTATTTTTCCCGGAAGTTTCCCCTTTTTATTGCAAAGGTAATCAAAAGTTTTTTTTTCCTTTTTTATGATTAAATTTCTAGAAAATGCCCATTTAATGTTGATTACACGTGAAGGTGAAAAAAAATTTTTATTTCCGAAAGGCGCAACAAAAATGTTCATAATTATAATTGAATAAATATTCATGATGACATCACATGTTTCGCTTTGTTCATTTTTCAAATCAATTGTTCCAATTTATCAACAGTAGACTGAACATGAGCAGCAACACCTCCACGAACTTCTTTATGCATTTCCTTCATTTCAACAGCTTGTCTAGTTTTAACTTCTTCTTTCAATCTGTCAAGTAAAGTTTTTTTATCAACATCATCAATATGAGGAAGGTCTCTGATCAATTCTGTAGGATTCTTTAAACGTTCTTGTCCGATAGCCGCAGCATATTTTCCAAGCGTCGAAGCTAAAATTTAAATTATTTAATTGATCTTATTTGTAAACAAAGCAGGTTAAAACAAGTTGACAGAATACCTGCGATTGCAGCCTGAGTTTTAAAGTGAGGGCCAGTACCCTCTTTACTTTCTTTACGAGCATAATCCGTAGATAAGGATTTTAATTCCGCAAGATTACGATTTTCTGCTTCTACACTTATACCTTCTCCATGTATATTCACTTCATCTTTATCAGGCACCTGATGATAGTCGCTGATTGGCTCTTCAACATTGGCTTTCATGTACAGTACAATATAAATTTTAATCAAATGGTTTAAAACAACAAAAATATTGAGAGATTAACGGATGCATACCACCAACTCCTGGTGGACCAAATTTCAGATGTCTTTGTCCTGTTGTTAGGTTGGGAACATGTTGTTCATTTATTTCTGTTCTTTGATCAAATATTCTTTTCGTTGTAGACATTTTTTCGAGAATTAATTTCGAGAAAATTGGGCAAATTCGTTTCAATGTAGGCTAGAACTTTTTTTATAATAAAAAAAAATTTTTTTGGGAACGAATTACGTATTAATGTCGTATTTCTTTCATAATATTTGAATCCATAATTTTATTTATACCATAAGAACTTTACGACCCGCGTCATGTGATCATAAATAACTCTAAACCCAGTAATATAAAAAATTCTCTTACATAGTAAGATAGTCACGTGAGATGAAAATGTCTGTCTTAGAAACAAAAATTAAATATCTTCCTTACATTGATTATAATTATTAAATAAAAAGTAAAATATAAAATATAAAATATATAAATATAATGTTGAATTCATCCCCATTCGTTCCTAAATAGATAATTATCCATATATTGCGAAGTTGTTTCTTCATCTAAAAACATTTCATAATCGGACAATGGCATTGGAGGAGGACATTCAAAATTTTCTAATAAAAAAAAGACCAATAAATTTCGTTATATTTCAGAGATATGAGGTTAATTTGATAGAATTTTTATAATTTGTAATAAACACGTACCTAAATTATTATTATCTAACAAGGCACATAATAAATCTAGAGGTTGGAACCGGCCCAAAAATCCTTAACCAGTTAATAACCGGTTAAAAATTTCTTTAACCGGTTAATTAACCGGTTAAATTTAACTCAGGCCGGTTCCAACCTCATTCTCAGCATAGAGATATTGAATTCCTCCCGACTGAGAATTTAAGTCATCCCCTGATTGGGTGATCAAATCAAATAAGCCTTCTTGGGGAATTTCTAATTGAGCAATTAAACCTTGTACAATTTCTTGATAAGTTTCTTCTGATTGAGTAACTAAATCTTGCATAATTTCTTTGGAAACTTCGGTTTCTTGTACAATTTCTTGATAAGTTTCTTCTGGGACTTCTCCTGCATAGCCATCATAGGAGCTTCAATTTTAGAGTCCAACTTTTGATTATATGAAACAAATTTTATAGTCTTTGGTTTTTGATTCCTAAAACCAATATAAAGTTGTTCATACATCATTAGGTGCGATTTCCCAAAGATGTGGTATATCTTTAAACGAATTCGAAAATTGTCTAAACAGTTTAATTGATTTTGCTGTATGGAATCCTCCACAGACATCGACATAAAAGATCATATGAGAGCGTTTCCAGTAAAATCACATTACGGATCATATGATTTATTATGCTTCATGACTTGATTTTACTGGAAACGTTCCCATATAAGGATTTAATAAATCTTTATAACCGCGATCAATTAATTCATTAACCGAACTTATGGATCTTATGATCCAAAATGAGAAATTATTATTGTTCCAGATTAAGGCATTTGGAATTTCATTTTCAGTAAATTCACCCCCGACCGAGCTCTATATTGAGGAAGAAAATTCTGGGAAGGCATCCAACCCTCAAAATTGAAACCATCAGTTCCTGATTGATTGATGAAGTTCTGTGAAAGACTATCATCAGTTACGTGACCCAAATTATGAGAAAAAAAATTAGAGTATTTTGATTAATGATGTTGATCAAATAATTAAATTTGAGGATTGTACAAATCGAAAACCTGCTAATCCTTACAAACCACTTTACGATCGTTTCAAGCCAGAACAATATAGACCCCCTAGATCCTCTCACTTCCATAATCAAGATCCTTACAAATCTTTCTCTCACGTGTTACAAAATGGAAAAAACAACACATCCAATAATAATCAAGTAGTTCCTTGACCCTGAATGGTTAATTTCTGCGAAAGACCACCAGTTCCGTAACCCTCAGAACCTTGACCAACAGTTTCTGATTGAATGGCCCAGACCTGCTCAATCTCGGATTGCATATTGCTCGTGTTTTTTAAGGTTTTAAAACTATTTTAAATATGTTTATAAATATCTTTGACATCTTCAAGGGCGAGGCGCCAAAAGTGAGATATGTTTGTATATTTAAACAAATTAAAAAAAATTTTTATATCACGTTTATTAGCTTTTTCCTCCTTTTGTTTACGTTTTTCATCTTTTATCCCTTCGTTCACATCGATTTGAAACATCATAAACGGAGACTTTAAATTCTTGTAATTACGATTGGCAAATCCTTCAGCAGTCGAAATTTTAACTTGTAGAAATTTATTTCTCAAGGCTGAAAATGAGAACGGTCGTTCTTTTCGAGTCTAAAGTTAATTCCATTTCAGGTAAAGTTTCGGTCATGTTGTTTTGTTTGTTGAAGAATAATTAACCAACAAAAAATATAATAAAATAAAATTTAAGAGAGAGAAAAGGAGACGAGAAAATGAAATTGAGTGGTTTTATATTCTTTAAAAAAAAAAAGTCGAAATACCTAAGTAAAGTTGATATTCTTATATTGTATTAATTTTGAGAAGACAGTTACCTTATTAAATAAAAAGCAAATATTGTAAAAAGTTTATTTATTTCCATTTGGTTTGCTTAAAAATATGTTTACAAAAAAAAAAAAATTGGGGGGAAGTTCACATATGTGGTAAGTTGTGTAATCGAAACTCCTGGAAGTTATTTATTTGATTTATTTGTGGTTAAATCAGGACCGGAAATCTTTACATAGATTTCTTGGTCCTGTTAAATCACGGAATTTATCTTTACTACGAAGTGACGAGTTTTTTTAAAACATTTTTTTTACTTTCAAAAATATCTTTATAAAATTGCTACCATTGTTGCATTTTTAAAAATAAACTCAATTTTTTGTTTTCGTCGCAAGCTCAAGGAAACAGACTTATTGTGTTGCTTAAATTAAATTTCTTTGTTGTCCCGATTTAGTAATGGATATTATAAATCGTTAACAAATGATAATAAAAAAAGTGATACTTCCCTTGTTAAGTTGGAAAATAGAACATCATAACATTTGTTGCAATTTCTTATAAAAACAAGTTAATTTAATAATTTTTAAATTTAGAGAAAAATTTAAACTTCCAGCTGTTGAAGATCAAATATTCAGTCAAAAAAAAATCTCAAAATTTAATAGCTTGGTTAAAGACTGAGAATAATGGTTAGAGTATCTCAAAGTGGATGGAACTTTATTTATGTTTTGCAAATGGTGTAGAGATTCCAAATTTGATAATGCAACATATAGAAAGAGATCAAAAGCAAAGCAACTATTTGCAACTTTGTCAGTTAGATAATGATGGTATACAAATTATACAGTAAATGAAATGTGTTTATTTTGTAGCATCTTTCTTTTAAAATATATTTGGATTTAAAACAATTTATGAAAAAAAGCTACTAATAATTTTATTTATAATTAAATTTTTATTATTAATATATAGTAAGTTTTATAGGAAAATTAGGTTTGAGTGGTTTTGATAATCAGTTTGGAATAAATGATATATATTTATCTTTTTGAGATAAAAAAATGAATATATTATACTAGGCGATGGATAATTAAAAATTGATCGCAGAGAAATACAATGTCTCATAGTGCTAAGAACAGCCAGTTTAAGATCTTGTTGTAAAAAGTGTCTATTAGATATATTTTATTATATGAATTAGGGATTGCGGGTCAGCCCGGGTGGGTAACCCGTCGGGCTAGTTAACCCCATTTTTTAGTTTATTTATTTATTTACGCATGTGAAATTTATATAATTGAATGTAAATATTGATGTCATTTATTAAATAAATTATTACCAATTGAGAAATGAAATTGATAATTATTTGAATGAAATAATCACACCAATCAAAAGAAATGGTTTATATTGTAAAATTTGGGGTTGATAAAATTCAATAACTGCATTTAAATAAAAATAATAAACATTTTTCATGATAAATTCATCCGGGTGACCCGATGACCCATCTGCCAGATGACCCGGGTCCAATCCCTAGCTGTAGTCGATAAATTGTTTCAATACCTTTTATAAAGAAATTATTTTGGAACGAACGTAACGTGTCGTATAATACATAATATTTGAATCATAAATACGATACGTTTTGATTTTATTAAATACATAATTAACTTATAGTACATAGTTATATACGAGTCATAAATTTATCTTAAATATCTTAAATTCATTAATATAGAAAACAGCAACAAAATATAATAGGATACATGGGGATCGGGTTATAGGAAGATTAGGCACATTTTGATGTTTGGAAATAAAAACAAAAAAACATAAAATAAAAAACTTTCTGAAAATTACTATATGTTGTAATCATCTAAAAGCATACCATGATCATTATTTGGAGGATCATTATTTGGAGGAGGAAATTCAAAAAATTCAAAATGTTCTAATAAAGAAAGTGTCTCTTGTCAGTCTTATGATGCGTAGTTACTTTGATAAAAAATTTTATGATTATAATAAACGTACCGAAATTATAATTATTCACGTCATATAATGCTAAAAGATCATCAATAAAGTCATATTGAATTCCTCCTGGATGAGTGACCATATTATCTGATTGAGAAAGAGAATAGTCTTGGAAAACTCCAGTCTCTCCTGATTGAGCAATTATATCTTGTGATCGAACAATCAAATCTTGAACAATTTCTTGAGCAACTTCTGGTTGATTAATCACTCCCGGGTAAGAAATCAAATCCTGTTGGTTATCTTCAATTTCGGGGTTACAAGATACAAATTTTATAGTTCTTGGTTTTAAATTCCTATAACTAATATAAAGTTGTTCATAGGTATCTTCCTTTACGACACTAGGTGCGATATCCCAAAGATGTGGTATATCTTTAAAAGAATCCGAAAATTTACTAAAATTTCTATTTGATTTTGCAATAGTGAACCCTTTACAAACATCAATATAAAAAATCATGTATGGGTTCAATAAATCTTTATAACCACGTTTAACCAACTCTATAGCACTTGAAACTTCCACCGGCAAAAATTTATGAACACTATGGTCAAGGATTAGTAAGTTAATTCTTCTTGAGTCTGGTTCAATATCTAACGACATGGTTATTTTAGGTTCAGACATCTTTTTTTTAATCTTTAGACAAAAATTATTAAAGAAAAAAAAAAAACATTACTTTTATAAAACTAAATTTACTAAATTTGGCGAATTGAATTTTTATTATTTTTTAAAAAGTAACTACTTTTTATACTATCTGTCAATTCATTGAGGTAGATGAATTTTCTTAAATTAATTTTTTTGTTTCACCAAATTGCCCGATTTAGTTGTGTCAAGCCTAATGGCAAATTTTTATTATTGTATCTAAGTAACTTTTTTCATCCTATGGAAGTCAAATGAAATGCATGTATTCCACCAAAGTGCTCGATTTAGTTATGTCAAATCTAATGGTAATTTTTATTATTGAATATATTATAGAAGTAACCTTTTTTTTCTATGAAACTCATTAAAACACTATAAAAAAAAGCCGAAATAAGGAAAGTGTGGTTTTTTCTTACATTATTTTTTGTTCCACCAAAATGCCCAATTTAGTTGTGTCAAGGCAAATGAAACAGTCCTTTCAACAATGTTTGTTGAAATTGTAGTTTATATATTATTTGGAGTCTAAATAAGGAAATGTTCTATGTAACATCTTTAGATGAAATTTTAGGTCATTGGGGAACGTTGCCATTTTCAATATGATTTTGTCTTTAGAACTATAAAATAGCGGTGTTATGCCCCTTCATCTCTTTAGACTCGATTATTATATTCTACTCTTATTAATATAAGTAAAAAGTAAAAAGAAAGATTACTTTGTAAGATGATACAAATACGTACTTTATTTGATAAATACAATAATTACATAATTGTTCTTAAACCGAATTATGATTTTTTAACATGGAAGTTGCCAGACTCAATTTCTTCGAAAGAAAATCCCTATTTATCTTTTAGAAAGAATTTTTTCAAATCAGCAAAGGCTATTCAAAAACAAAAATCAATCGATATCAGTCGTATGGATAGAGATATTACTGAAGCTTGGAAAAATGCGGATGAACAAGTTCGTATAGAATATGAAAAGCTTTACTATCTCAATAAAGTCCCTGATCCGAGTACTTCAAAATTATGGAATATAAATGATACATATGCCTTGCTCCATTATCTTAACACTCGAAGTACTACTTATATTGCGATAGAGAATTTTCTTTCCTATAATGGTAACTATAATAACAAGCTTTCTCAACCAGGTTTACTCTTCAAAAGAAAAAGAAGAAAAAGAAGTATAAAGATCAACGTACAAAATCTAGCTGCTATTAACAGAGTACCATTACCACCAAAAGTACTTCGATTATTTATTTTTATGAAGTCCGACAAACTCATGACTCTCTTCAAATTTCAGTTCACACTTTTTATTTGCTTATTTGTGGAGATGGAAATTTTAGATTTTTAATCCAACAAACAATTATTTATTTAATTTTATAATGTAAGTATTTTGTAATAGTAAAAAAAGAAAACTACAAAAAATTAAGAAAAATATGGAAAAAAAACCTCTGAAATTCAGAGCCCTAAGACGCGAAAAAAAATTTTTTTTTTTAAATTTTCTAATGTATAAATTTGTTTTATAACATTTGTATTTTGGGAATTATGAAAATTTTATTTTTCCTTTTTGATTTACTCTATCTATCCTTTTCTTTAAAGTCCTTTTTCTTATTAGTACCAAAAATTAGCGTAGATAACGGAGATTGAAACAAATTTATCATTGTAACAAAAATTTTACTCAACTTGTATGCACTCACATCATGATTTTATTTTTATTATCTATATTTTTTATTTGGAATATCGAAATAAATTATATTTTTATAATCCTAAGCTTTAAGTAAATAAACACACTATGACTTTATACTTGGATATCCCGATTGACAAAGAACCTTGGTTTTGAAAGATTATCAATTGAAATTATCTTTTATTATAAATTTCGAATTGAAATAACCAATTATGGTTTTTGACTAAATTGATATTTTTAAGGTTTAAAGTTAGTCAAAAATCAAATTTTTTTTTTTTTTGCCTGTTTTCTTTCGTCTTTTACAGATATGGATCATCATACCACCTGGAATGTAGGTTTAAATCGCGATTAAAGTCATAGGGAAAAAGAAGGGAGGAGGAAAACCGGTACGATACTGTTCGGCTGATCAGTACGGTACGATCCTCCAAATTATAATCGTACCGTACTTGTTCTATAATATTATTGAAACCAGTACGGTACGGTACGATACTTTCTATTAACCAACCGTACCGGATTTCTATATACCCCGATTTTCTATATATACCCTATGTTAATGATCTCAATGATATTAATAATGATTGACGTCAAAGCGTTCTTAATAAAAAAAAAAAGTTTTTTTTCAAAAAAACAAAAAAAAAATTCCATAAATAAAAATTAAATAAATCGAGGGAGTGCGAATCGTCGGTACAAAATATGATCGTACCGTACTTAATATTATGGAATCAGTACGGTACGATTATAATTTGAAAATTCGTACTGATCTGCAAAATCGTACCGTACTGATCAGCCGAACCGTACCGTACCGGTTTTCCCCTATACTCAAAAAATATTTAGATAAGGTTGAACGATTGATATAGGCAAAAATGACATTTGTCAGGATTGAATTTTAGTTCAAACCTCCTAGTATATTTTACTCAATTTGTTTGATATAATATAGTGTGTCGTATGGTTTAGAAAGAATGATATCAACATCCATAGAATTTCAAAATTTCGTTATCACTTGCATAAAGTTTAGTTTTCTTCCCTGAATCATCATCCACATGGCTTACTGGAGACAACCAGACTGATTTGCGGCTTACGTCCATAAAAGCGTATGTTTTCAGTAAATTTAACGAGATTTTAGATTTTAATTGAAATTAATAAATAAATTCTGCAGTTTTACTAAAATAATATTAATGAAATTAATAATTAAATTTGCCGCTTTTCGATCGTTAATTCCGAAGCGAAATTATTCCAAGTTGAAATGTCCAGCACAACTTGTATATAAAAATCGTTATGAAGGCATGAGAACACTAATAGAAACATATGGGAGCTTGTCAATAGAAAAGGAGGAAATCTAAAAAAAAAATTAAAATTTTACTTCATATGCTAAATATGATTTTTTTTTTAGTAAAATAAGTCCAGATTTAACTTTAACTCATAAAAACATTTTTTTTTTAAATTTCCCCCCCATCTATTGGCAAGCTCCCATATAGTTTCATAGACGCAATTTTAAAACTTTTTAATTATTGAAAAAATTTTCTTTATTCTAGCTATTGATGAAATTGCGGTAAATTATTTGAAAACTGAAAGTAATTGCAGAGGTTACTGACAACTCAACAAGTATGTTAAACAACCAATTTACCATGTTGTGTTGTTCTCTTCAACTTATCTAAATATGCTATAAAGAATTTCATGTACTTATCAATCAAGCTTACATTAAAGACTGATATAATGCACTAATTTTTAACTATTTAACGATTAATGATCTAGCATTTATTAAAACAACATAAATAGAAGAATCATTATAGATTAAAATTTGGAAATTTGTTTGTAGACTATAAAAATGAATGATCCACATTACAGGATTTCTAAAATTTACAGATATTATGGTGGAAGTCAATGTTCAACGTTAAGCTAAATTCTTACCGAGTGTGTATTGAAAATGATATTTTGCTATGTATTATTTTGTTTATATTTTTGAAAGCTAAAGATGAAAAAATCAGTACAACCAATAATGGAAATTTTGAGTAACTACCAATAATGAAAAAACGAATTTGAGATACAAATATATACTACAATGCTATAAATTCCAATAATCACCACGTCTATTCACACCAAGAAATATCTAGAAATCCCCATTTCATTGGTTCTTTCTGAAAGTTTGTTCTCAGATGTTTGTAATATGATTACAGAAAAACGTAATAAATTATATCCTTACTGTATACATGATATTCTTTTTTTAAAACTTAATTCAAAATTTTTAATGGTTTAATGAATAGAATTATTATAATAGAATTAGTTTTTTCTGTTTTAATAATAATAATCATAAATTTTAAACTTCTTGATATTGTGCTTATATACCAAATCAAAGCATCAAAAGGCATCAAATTCATTTTTTACTAACATATAAAATACATCAATTATTTACCTTTATAGTTAGTTAGACTTATGATAAAGCCTGCACTCGATTTGAAGAATGTTGGCAACATTGGAAGACTAAAAAGCGCTATCCTTGTACTGATTGTAGCAAATCTACTACTACAGCTTGTGGACGGTGCGCTAAACATATTAGAGGATATTATGTGATGTAATATTATAATAAATTATGAGATAAGGCTCAGAGATTAGACTTGATAAAAGATGCGACTTAGAGGGAAAACTTAGCATATGGGGTGAGTGCTGGGAAAAAGGACCAAATCGACAAAAAATTTTTTTTTGAAATAACAAATGATCTAAGTCAGA